AAAACTCCAACCCCCGGCTACTGCGATGGAGTTTATTTTTGCAAGGGTTTAACTTGGACATCCAGCACATCCGTGGGAAGGACAATGTGTTTGCAGATGCCCTATCTAGGTCATAATACAGTCTTCAATCCCGGACAAGCCCTTGCTAAGAAACCATTGCCACTTCTCGTTGCTTTAAATATCAAGCTATTTTTACTGTAATTTAATGTTGATGAAATCTCAGTCTTTCATCAAAACAGAAAAGGCATTTTGTGGCTCGTGTGTCTAGGGTTATAATTCTTGCACTGGATGCGATAGGCTCCGGGTTCAAATCCAAGACGAGCCCTTGCTATGAACCCATAGGTGCGTCTTATTGCTTTTAATAGATAAAACTTGCTCCACTGTAATTTGATTTTAATGAAATCTGAGTCTATAATCAAAACAGGAAAGGCATTTCATGTTCTGCCGGCTGCATCCTTGTGCACACACCGGATATTGGCGACAACGCCAGGGTGGAACAGTACAGCCACACCACAGCACCGGGGGGTCCCCAGTGATTAGAAAAAGGGTCCCGGCCACAGACACTCGATGTGCTGCACCACCCTGGCGTCCCACCATGTCTCCTGTAAACACAAAATGTTGTGATAAAAAGCAGTAAAAACAGCATCAGTGCGAGTATGTGACCTTAGCCCATTAATATTGCATGATAAAAAGCGAAACATTGGAAGGAGCTATCAAGAGTTGTGTGTCTTCTGCAGCCTCTTATTTTTCTGGCGGTTTGAGCCCATCCTGTTGTCCAGGATTCTTTTCCGGCTTGCTGCTTGGGTGTACTCCATAATGTCCATGTCTTCATCTGTCTCTATAGTTGGCTGATCTGTGGTAAGGGGTCTCACCACCGGGACAGTCAGCGCCTCTACAGAAGAGGTCACAGAGTCAGCTGGAGCTGAGATGGAGTCCTGTAAGCGCTCTGATTCACCCACCTCTCGACTCACCTGTGTCATACTCATTGTGTAGCATGCCAGTATCCAGGGAGATGTTGTCAAGGCTGGAACCCAGCTGTGACGGGCCTGACAACCCTGGGGCTCCTTTCGCCCCGGGCTGCTCGAGGTCTTGGCCACCTCCAACCTCCTCATACGCCAATTCTAGAGAGATACCAGAGGCCCCACCCTCCTCTTTAGTCTGGCTGTCTTCTGATTAGGTGCCATCGCTGTGTTCACAAACACAGGTAGCCATGGTGTTATAGCATACAGCACACTTCTGCCCTTTACGTTGTGTCTTTAGTGGACAATCTCTTGCATAATGGCATTGTTTCAGGCACTTGAAGCACTTGAACTCCTCACAGTCTTTGAGCACATGATCTTTTTGAAGGCATAGCCTGAAGACGCTAGCCTACCTGTCATGTACCACTCTAAAAAATTATTCTATTCTTTCTATATATATATAAAGCTTATAACCCTAACCCTACTTGTTCTAGGGGTATGGTTCTCGCTTTGGGTGCGAGAAGTCCCGGGTTCAAATCCCGGACAAGCCCTTGTTATGGGAGGTCCCAGGTTCAAATCCTGGACGAGCCCTTGCTATGAACCCGTAGGTGCTTCTTATTGCTTTTAATAGGTAATGCTTACTTTAATTTAATGCTGATGAAGTCTGAGTCTTTTATCAAAACAGAAAAGGTGTTTTGTGGCTCGAAGGTGAGAGGTCCCAGGTTCAAATCCCGGGGAAGCCCTTTCTAAGAAACCATTGCCGCTTCTCGTTGCTTTAAATATGAAGCTATTTTCACTGTAATTTAAAGGGGCTATATGTAAGTTTTTGATTTTAGTAAATCAAATTTTCATTGCCTTATTGTCAATGGGCTCAAAAGTCACTTAGAAATGAAGCACACGCCTGTTTTCTCCGTTGCTTGCATCAACCACTGTTCTGTTTTTAAGGTGAGGACACCGGGTCGGATTCAGCCCTGTGCGCGCTCCCGAGCCTCTCACACTACAGCGCACTACAACCATAAAACAATTGGCTCACAGCAAAACACAGGCTCCACGTAAGGATACAAAACAACAATAAAGGTTTATGTGATGAAGCACATCAGACCAAACAGGTTCAGATGATGTCGAGCAAGAACAAAGTGAGCATTAGTAAAGCTGGAGAAACACAGAGAAAGTCACGTTAGCTCGCCGGCTAACACCGAGCAGTTGCTAATGTTATCCGGTGCAAAGTTGTATCGCTTTCCACATTACTTCACCAACTAACGCGACCCATGTTACTTTCCTGTGTACCACTGGTATTATGTCAAAGTGTCAAAGCCTGCAAGAAATGATGCAATGGTAAAAAGCAAATGTGGATCGATTTGTTTACTATCCCATAGTGATGCAACCACGAGCAGCCAGCTAACGCTACATTAGCTCGGACCTGCCGCTGTTTGCTTCGTAACGTTCAATTTAGATTTTATTGCCCTTTACCGATACTCAGGTACACAGCTTCTCCACCTCTCAGTCGCTGTACCTAACCAGACCCACATAATATACAACACAGAGGAAGAGCCATCCACTAACACTAGTTACTGCGGTCTAACTGTTATAAAGTGTGACACAATCTCGTTATAATATTCAGTCCAGCTCACTAACCGTTTCATTATCATCCAATAATTTTAGCTGTGCTGACATTGCTGAGCCTGAAAGATACACAGATAGTAAAGATAGTTACTGAAAGCAGCAGGCGAGCTAACGATGTACCATGTCGGCTGAATGCAGTCACTGTACCCTTATCATGTAACGAGCATAGATTAGTTCAACATCAAGCTGATAAAAACATTACTGTAACGTTGTGGTGGGAGTTTACCTGAGTTTCCGCCATGTTGTGTGAAGCTGTCTCCCTGTCTCTCTATAGCCGCTCTCACTTTTTTCGGGAGTACTGTGCCAATATGCCGGTGTCTCGCTGCACTGAATGGAAGGTACGGCTTCGGTGATGATCTGCCTCTGAGACGGGAACGTTGAAGTAACAGAGCCTGAACATGTCTGGAGAAAAGCCACAGCCTGCATGCAGGTGTTTCTGCGTTATTGCAGGATTTCTGTATGAAAGCGGTTGTGTTTCAGATTATGCTCGCTCATGAGTTCAAGCGAGCACGCGTACGAGCACACGCCTGGTTGCAATCTTTTTCTTTTTATTTTGTTTATTATATAAGAGATACCATCCCACCCCTAAAATAAGCCAACAAGTACAATCAAAGCACAACATCACAACATTATTCACAGCAGTCACACATTTCAAAACACGGAGCCCATGAATGAAACAACACACAAAGAAACCTTAAACCAAAACCTCTAAAAATAGAAAATAGGAACTCAAATTACAAACCATACTTCATTTGCGCACACATAAAGAAAGAAACCCCAGATCACACCCCGTTAATCCCCCCAAAAAACGGGAGAAACAGAGAAAAGGAACTACACCCTGTATTGAAAAACAAACACCGAAACCCCTCCCTGTTAACCCACAGACAGCCCATATTACCACACATCCAATAAACCAAAAAAGACCACACTACAAAATCAAAAAAAACCCTACAAGGCTTTTATATAAAATAAACAATATCACTTGTGTACAAAAAAAATACAAGAGACAGACAAGAGAAACAAAGACAACCTTAATGTGTGCATGCAAAAAAAAAGACTGAATAGCCCAATACGGTCAATCCCAAACGCAAAACCCTTAATGAAAATCAAGGAAAAAAGACCCTGCCATGTACACAAACCAGAATGACCACTAACAACAACTATCAACGAGAAGAAAAGCGTGATGTACACAGAAAACATTGAAATAAACCAAAAAAACTCAAATCAAGACACTCAAAGAAGACTGAAAGAGAAAAGAAGAACACTAACATACTCACAAACACATTCCAAATAACCCCAAAAATAGTCAAACACAATTCAGGACCCTCTTCAAAGACTAAGAACACACATGCACAGTTCCTGACAGCTTCCACACGGGAGAAAAATCTCAAAAGTTGAAGGCCAGGCGACCCCCCACAATGCCGCAGAGCGAGGCGCTCCAGTCCTCCACCCACTCAGGGACACCTGCCCAGAGTGTCCTTAGGTGGAGCTTAAGACACTGTCTGAATAAGAGCCACGCACCCACCTTTTTGCTCTCATACAGAGCAAAGTTGCGTGCATGGAAGAGCGCATGGCGGGCAAACGCTAGGACCTAGTCCACAGTCCATGCACCGTCTTGCTGCCACAAGGCAGGCCGAACAGCAGCGTCCAGAACAGATCTGTGTCCGAAGCAGCAGACCAGCCATAGCAGCGCTGCAGCAGGCTGCATCCTGAACAGCACAGACAGGACATCTCCTGGAGTAGACCGCCGTGTCTATCTGGTGCAGGATGACCGCTGTGAAGATCCTCCTATGTCTGATCTTGAACTCCGTGTTGAAAACAGAGTGGCAGCAGTACTTGAGATTGATTTTTTTCCAGATGTCGGCAATGTTGCGGCCAGGAAACTGTTCGGCCCACGCCACCTCAGCAGTAGGTCTCTGACAGACACTGCTGACCAGCAGCAGGCGGTACCACTGTTTAGCTGTCACCAGCTGGAGGGGCACCAAGGGAGCAGCAGCTGTAGCGTTTCTGTGGGGAGGTCGTGGACCCTCAAGGTGTGGATCACTTTTGATAGCCCCAGGGCGTTCACAACCACCACACGACCCCTCAGGGAAAGACTTCTCATTTTCCACTGAGAGAGTCTGCCCCCTGACCGCCTCTAGCACCTCCTCCCAGCTCTTGCTACATGCAGCCCTCGCATCCCTGCACACCCAACACCTTCACCGCCCCGTTACCCTAACGTGCGAACCACCCCGCCGTAGTATGTCACCGTGGACTTTTCAATGCTGACCCGAGCCCCCGAGTCCCCGACCCCGCCTCAAAGGTACGCAGGTGCCTCATGACCCTGCCCAGACCGTCCTCCTCCCTCACTGTGACGACGACATCATCGGCATATAGAGAGATTTTAACCTCTCTGCCCAGAGGGTGTGAATGCTGGTGATGCCCTCGTCACGAGAGATCAACAGAGCGAGCAGCTCGATGGCTAAGCTCCACCTGCCCTCAGGCAGTGCACCAGCACGACTTACCGCGTTGAACACCTGCAGCAGAAAAGGAGCCAGCTTCCCCTCGCAAGCCCTGTACAGCTCCCCGGCAGGTCATACAGCACTCTTATTGGGTCCCGTCCCCAGCATCAAGGCGCTTGTCTACAACAGAACAGAGAGAAGCAGGACAAGTGATAGCCCCATGTCATGGACCGAA